GCGCCGGCTCCGGCCGGGCCCGCCCGGGCTGTGCCGTGCAGCGGGCGGTGGGCCTTGGCGGGACGGCGACTGCCAGGGGGTGCGGGCCCTGTGCTTCCCAGCGCTCCCTCTGATGGCGGCGTTAGGGCTTGTGCCCGTGTTGCCCCCTGCTGAGGGTTAAGCCTCCCTGTAACTAGCTGACTTGGCCCTGTCCCGTTTCTCAGGTGGCAGTCGATATGGAATTTGCCAAAAACATGTATGAGCTGCACAAGAAGGTGTCTCCTAGCGAGATCATCTTGGGCTGGTAAGTTCTCCTTCCGCAAGAACATGCAAGCAGTTGTGTTGGTCCTTTAAACTACTTCAAATACAGAATTGTCACGGGTTGAGAAGCACTAATGCTTGTGACAGTAACATCTTGCAACTCCTGTTATAGAGTCAGCTCTAAAGCTCCTGTAGTTCGTAATAGGAAGAGACGGTACTGAAGACTTAGAGGGTTTGGTTTTGTTTATATCCAGCAAAGGTATGATAGTTAGAGAATGCTTGCACAGCTTTGTTGGAAGAACTTAGTCACCTGTAATACAACCTGCACCATGAAAGATAACTGGTTAAAAAGAAGGGAGGACACAAAAGAGTAGTTTCAAGTAGCGAAGCCTCAGGAAGAAGCAGTGATACCAGCTTGAGCATGCAGATGTTCTCAGCTGAGAAAAGGTGAAGTACTTGTGTGTGGGATGCGAAGCAAGATCAGTAGGGTGTTACAGGAATAGAGTCTGTATGAGTGTGTGGATAGTTTTATTACATTTTTGTGCTTCTATGGTCCTACAAAATACCTCAGTTCTGTTCCTGTGGAGCAGACTTCCTCAACAACATTCTAATAGCACAGCAAAGTTCTAATGACAGGATTTTTCCTGTGTATGTGAGAAGTTAATTGCACAGCAGCTGAAGGAGCTAGATGAACAAGTTATACCTCCTGCAGAGAGATGTTTGATTTGTGGAAGATCTGCATGGTTGGTTCAGATTTGTTTGAGATGCTTTGACTTATACAGAAGTAGAGTTGCTCCAGAACATAGTGGCAGATAACTGAATCTTGGGTGTCTGATGTCAGCTGCACAGACTTTATGCTGGTACTACAACACTGGCCCTGTGCATGTTTTGGGCATGGGCGTGCTCAGCCCGTTTCTTACAAATCTAGGACAGCTGGCCATAAAACTACAAATTCCCTAGCTGAAACACTTGTATTTAGTACATTTGTGCAGCTCAGTGTTTAGAAATCAGTATTTTAGGATACAAACCTGTTAAATACCAACAATACCAAACATTGGGTACTTGACTGTTGGAAGAATGGCTCTTCAACCTGTTCTGTTTTGAAGGTATGCAACAGGTCATGACATCACGGAACACTCTGTCCTGATCCATGAGTATTACAGCCGGGAAGCGCACAATCCAATCCACCTCACTGTGGACACAAGTCTCCAGAATTCACGCATGAGCATTAAAGCCTATGTCAGGTACTCTGGGAGGCTGCATTTCTGGGGGGAGGAGCTATCTGAATTACTGAAAGAGACCACATCAGGTTAATGAGAAATGCAGTGGGCTTGCAGTGTCTCACTGTGGACAATATTTTAAAACACAGCAGTGAGCTAGGGATCATGGCTTACTTCCCATTGGAATGTCTTGACCATTATATATAAGTTGAAATACCTAATCTTTCATAAGCTGGTACCTCTTTGGGTTGGGGAATTGTGACTTAATTAACAATGTTCTGAACATCTTCATGACATTTTACAGGATTTATATAGCTAGCATTAATGTCACTAAGTTCCATCGCACTGTCTGATAGCTAACCTGTAGTTACTGGGATTTATTGCTTGGCAGTTTATTTATATAAGTTGGAGGATTAGTGCAACTAAAACAAATCAAACAGCATCTTGATAAGTTTTCCTGCCCCTTAACTCTTCTAATTTTTATCGATTAATAATGGAGATTAAATATTAAGCAATGAAACTATTCTACCTCACTGTTCTTCCCAGTAGTGGCTGAAGAGCTCTCCTCTTCAAGGATAAAACTCCAGCCTTTCTTTGTAGCAGAAGTCTACTGCTTCTTGACTATGCATCTTCAAAAAGGAATATGTTCCATGACATCTTTTACTGAAAGCACAAATGAACTTCAAATACTTTGAATAACAGAAATAATGAAGGTGTTGAGTGCTTTGTACTTGAATTTTTGTCACATTTATGTTTTTTTCTTAAGTGATTTCTCAAAGAGCATGGAGTGTTTTAGGATAGAGGAATACCTGCTCTATAAGCAGGAAGGAGCTGTGGCTAAGAAGATGGTACTTAGCTCTTGATGCATTCATGCTGACAAACATCAGACCAGCTAGGAATATTCTTGGATGAAAATGAGCAATTAGTAGTATGCCAGGACTGACTTCCTGTTTGAAGTTATCCATGGTCTTAATATCGCTGATTTTGGTGAGAATGAGTAACCTACTTATGTTCACACTTCAGTGCTAACAGGGATCATTGAGATGGAAATTTTTACTTCCTCCCTTAAATATGTCCGTTTCTTTTTTTTTTCTAGTGCCCCCATGGGAGTCCCTGGTAAAACTATGGGCGTGATGTTCACACCTCTAACAGTGAAATATGTTTATTATGATACAGAGCGGATAGGAGGTGAATGTTTTCTTCCTATTTTGGTTATAACCATTGTTGTGACACTGTTACCCTGGTAAAATTGCCATTCTGGGAATTTCACTGGGAATTAGACTTGTCTTGCTGAAGCTATCCTAAAAATCTTCAACAAGTTAAGGATTTAAACTGGTTTCTATGGCAGTCAGTTTCACTAATCCTGCTTTTGCCTTCAGTGGACCTTATAATGAAGACTTGTTTTAGCCCTAATCGAGTGATTGGCTTGTCCAGTGACTTACAGCAGGTGGGGTCAGCGTCAGCCAGGATTCAGGACACCCTGACCATGGTGCTGCAGTATGCAGAGGATGTATTGGTAAGGCCAGCTTCTTATAAGCCAGCAAATAAGTTTCATGTAAGCTTGTGCATCTTGTTTTCCTTTTTATATATTCTCTTTCTGGGCCATAAACTTACTGAGTTTTACTCACATTGAAGTGTATGTTTCTTGCGCTTAGTCTGGCAAAGTGGCTGCTGACAACACTGTTGGGCGTTTCCTGATGGATCTTATTAACCAGGTGCCAAAGATTTCACCAGAGGACTTTGAGACAATGTTGAACAGCAATATCAATGTAAGTTCATCATCTAATTTTTCCAGCAAATTGCCAGCAATTTTGAAAGTGTCGGACAGCCACAAATTTGTCTGTGATCAAAACAATCTGTCTTTTCATACAAACATGTTAATAGAAAATATAGCCCTTGCTTGGCAGTAATTTGATGTTTTAAGATCTTAGGGTGGATAAATGAGCTTACTATAATAAGCAAGCAACTGCAAATGAGAGAATAAGTTTTAAAGTACTTGGGAATTACTCAAGTAATCTGAAAGCCAGCACCAATTCTTCTAGAGTGATTGGGCAGTATGAATTACCAAGCTTAAAGCAGTATGGATTTCAAGGATAACTGGTGACTTGCCAGCTTCCATTGCCTGAGCTGAAGTTCCATCTCCTTGTGCAACACTTAAGACATGAACAAGGTTTTGGTGTGCTACCTTATTTCTGTAATGGATTTTTAGAAAGCGAAAGCTAAGTTTCTGAATGTGTTGTTCACCCACAGTCTGCACGACCAGAACTAATTTTTAATTTTGCTTATACCCTTTGACTTACCTGGTTAACATGGGTGAACTCACAGTTAAAATTTCACAAGCAGTGTTTCATAGTCTGGGAATGCCAAAACCTTCCTGCGAAGGAAGTGTTCCTCAGGGTAGGACTTCCAAGACTCACAATATCTCTTGTGGCTGATCGTAAACTGCTTTACAGGTCTTAGAAATTCAGCTCCCTAATAGACTACCATCTTAGTTAATATTTCTGACCACTGTTTTTTTTTCCCCTCTCAGGACCTACTGATGGTAACCTACTTGGCAAATCTCACACAGTCACAGATTGCTCTCAATGAAAAACTTCTGAGTTTATAAAGAAACTTCTGCCATCTACACTTCAAAAAGCCTGAAGAACGAGCAGATACACTTTTCTATCAAATTTTGTGCTACAAATTTCCTTGGACCGTAATTTAATTACCTAGATGACTCGGTTTACATCTTTATTTCCATTGCCCTGAAAAATCCCTAACGTTTAGGAAATGAATGGGAAAGGCTGCAGTTTAGTTGAGACCAATATTTTAAAATGGAATATGTGAATCTTTTGTCTCCTGGGTATAAAAAAATGTGGCTTTATTGTAAGAATGTATTTGAAATAAAAGTTCCATTGCAGTGGCAAGAATGGCTTCTGTCTACAAAAAACTGTTCTCATTTATTCAGTTTAATCAGTTTTTGAAAAGGAAGGGGGGATAACATGGCATGAGGAAAGAAAACTAGAGTGGAAGCAAGTCAACTCCAATTCTGCAGACTTTGTTGCAGGGTTTTTTGCGGCTGTTAAAGCACACTGAAAGCATGTATTCGTGTGTTGCACATAATATGCTTTTCCACAGAGGACTACAGACTGGTCACTGGTTTATAGTGGTGTGTGTGTGCCCTTCAGCAGGGTACTGACAGTATGAGACAGCAAATTCAGTTTGTTATGGTATCATTTCTACACATTTATGATCCTTTGGGAAAGGAAATCAAGGTCAATAACATTAGCCCCTCAAAGCTTGCATTCAGAGAATTAAACTAGCAGTTCATGGTTAAAAGGGCTTGAAAAGCATTGGTGGCTGAACAAGTGTGGCTACTGGAGTTTCCGTCTCTGCAAAAGAAGAAAGGCACATCAAAACTACATAAGGTTTTGAGGTTAAAAGTTGGGTGTCATCAAATAAGAATTTTCTGTTTCATGACCCTGTACTGCTGCTAAAATTATGTGAATGGAAATTTCCCATTTTCTCCCCAAAACCTACTTTACGTTCAATGAGTTATAGATGAAAGAAAGCTAATACCAATCCATCTGATCTGTAACTTTTTGCAGTCTCAGCAAGTAACATTACCTTTAGAAGTCTGTTCAGCTGTACTGAAGAGGTTTTGCCTAACAGAGTAAAAGTGCCCCTCTTCTATGATGTTAACTGTTCTCTTCTAATTATTAATGACTATTTCTGATGCCTCGCATATGAATTTGAAATGTTCGAGAAGCCTGCAAAGCTAGCATTCTTCAAAATAATTTTTTGTGCTAATTTGCAGATAAATTCAAGAATGGGACTCAGGTTACAAATCTGTAGATCCTGTTATCAGTTGTTCCAGTCTAGAGAATTCCCTCAAGGACTGCTAAATTCTAATTGCAAGGATAAGGTACATGAAAACTGACAGTAGAGCAAAGATTCTCATCTCTTTTAAAATGCTATTTGTAAGCATTAAATAAATGTAAAACTCAGCTCTTGTTGTTTTCCCTTCAATTTCATAACTTTAGCCATTTAACTGACAAATTTTCAGGTCAAGGTGCTTTTTAAAGTAAGCCTTGAAATAGGTGGAGGAAAAGAACAAGCAGAAAGCTAGATAAGTCACTTACTGCAAAAAAGCTGAAGGGAGGGGAAGCATAATCTTTCCCTGATCTCTCCTCTGCAGTAAACTCAATCCATTCTCTGTTAGGTAGACTGATAAAATGCAAGAAGAAAGATTTTAAATGCTCTACAAGTTGAATAGCGATGCTATTTAATAAGCTGTTGTGCACAAAATGCAAAGTTCTGAGAAGAAAGATCCAATTTGTCATCACTGATACACAAAAGGTATTGTGGAATTTGCCAGTCCTTGCAATTACCTGATGACTAATGATGGTATGTTGTAAGGGACTAAGGTTATGTCTTCCTGGGTAGAAAGATTCACTGCAAAGTAGAGGTGTTCAGAAGAGGCCACAACCCATAGGTTCAGTTCTATGCCAGACAGCAGTGACAAATGCTTGGAATTGGAGTAGGAAAAAAATAGTTGCTGTTTTAAAAAAATCTGTATCTGATCCCATCCATTCTGTGCCTTTTTACTGGGTGAACGGCTCATTGCGAATCTTGCTTTGACTCTGGAATTTTGAATGCCTCATTTCAAATTTCACTCTTAAGAAGGACAATATTGCAAACACAACTGTAAAGTGTAATGCATCATTTTGCTTAACTGTAGAGCCTGGGCTGTCTTATTATCTTGGAGGCATTCCTTCTCTGGAGTTTGAAAATCTGGACAGGGATTCCTATAGGTATTTTCTTTGAATTGTTCCACTTCATGAAAATCTACCTAAAAACTTGAAGTTCAATAGAAAATCTGGCGGTAAGAGCTTGGGAGTCAAGAAACATCACCAAGGATTTCAAGCTTTAACTTGCTATTGATTTGTAAACCACAGATTTCTTGGATTTATTAGGGGACTTTTTCCTTTTTTGTTTGTTTAGGATGCATTACTCCACAAATAACTGACAAAATCTAGCTGTAAATAGTCAAGACAGATAGTTCTCTAGGTGTGTTTCTATATACACCATATATTGTATTTGGTCGTATTAGTGTCCTCTAATACAATAAACTTTCATATCCTCTGTGACATGTTCAGCCGCCTTCTTTTCTTAGATGGCTTCTCTGAGTACAACGTTACTTGACATTACTGTATTACATGTTTATTTCTGGCAATGTGCATGTTTTCCTGGTAAGTATTAAGCTTTAAGATGCCTTTCTTAAATGGGTCTGTCATAAGCTCCTAGAACTCAAGTATTTAATTGCTCAAATGAGACGAACTTTTTTTGTATCCTGGTTTAGTTGAGCTGTTCTTGTGGTTTTACCTCAGTGTGAAGTTCTCCTCGAAAACTTATTTTCCTCAATATACAGAACAAAGCTTACTGTTACAATTTGACTCTCCTAAGTATGCAGTATACTGCGTACACAGTATACTATGTACTTAGAAAAGCTGGATGAATTATAAAATCAGTTCACCTTGCTGTCTTGGACCTATCTCAGACATAATAGTCAGTCTCAACAAAGGAACAGAGTTTCAGCAAAGCATCTCTTGGCATTAGAAAGAAGCAATGAAACCTTGTGTTTTTTCAGTGAGCATGGTGACCTCTGACAACCTGCAGTTTAATTAGCATGCAGACATTATGTTTTGTTCTGACATCTTCCTAGTGTAGTAAGACTTTGCTTGCTTGCATCTTTGATCAAATGCAGGCAAAACCCACAAGCACATAAAGGTACTCTGTGTTACTTCTCAAAAATCAATGCTTGCAGGATGAACTATCTTTAAGAGAAATGCCTTAAAATTGCAGGATGGAGCTGGTAATGCTCCAGTATTTCTTAACTGATGACAGTGTCAACAGTGGAAAGAAGGTGGTGTACCACAATGGAAACTGCAGATACCTGATGGTACTTAGGTTCCCTGTGCTCTGCAAGGCTTGCAGATGACACTGAGATGATTCTTCAAGAGATATTAGTGGATAGGCAATATTCAACAGTCAGGTGTCCTATGAATGCTATCAGGTACTTAGCATTGATGCTGCACAGAACAGTTCTGGTGGTGGTGACTAGGATTAGAGTAAGATCTGAAGTCCTTGAAGACTGTATTGTGTTACTGTTTGCTGATTAAGCTAAATAGCAATTGAAATTTGACATTCTAAACTCACGTGACTGAAGAACAGGGTTAATCCTATGTGTTTCTCTGCGTAGGAAAAGAAGTTTGTGCTGCTAATTTTAACAGACACTTCATTGTTGCTATCTTCTCTGATTCCCTGTGTCCACCAACCACCTTAGAAGGGGTTTCCTGAATCACAAATTCAGTTCTTCCTCATCTTGACCAACCACATCTTAAATTCTTATTTTAAATATACCGAAATATATCTCCTTTGTTCTTACTAAAGTTCTTATTTCATGCTCTTCCTGCTATTTATACATTATCTCTTACAGGTTGCCATCATACTGTAGCCTTCATTTTACTAAACATATTAAGCTTTATCTCCTTTTGTCTGACACACTGTCTATGCTTTGATCACTTAGCTGCCCACTTAAAACTTAATTTCAGTCTTTCTTGCACTAGTTGTTAAAGACCATACCCATACCAGCATATAAATCAATGAATATAATAATACATTAACCCTTTCCTATTACAAATTCCTTGTTTGCCTCTTGGTGTCTGTCAGGTAATGTGATTGAGCATCCCCATCTCTTGCCCCTGCTGTCATTTGCAGCTGAACTCCAATTTACCAATAAAATTATTAATTTAAATTATGACACTTTTTAATTAAAAAAAATAATAGATCCACATATTTGTCGTGGTTTGGATTATTCTCAGTCTTGCCGACATCTCACAGTTTTGCCAGCAGGTATCATTAGTTTATTCCTAACTTCTGTGCCCTACTCAGTTAAGAAAAAACTTGGAATTGATCCCAGACCAACTTAACAGAATTCTACAAATTCCCTTTTCAACACAGCCTTTGTTCTTTCTTACAAGTTCTTTATCTTTGCTCATGCTGATTCTGGTCTTCTGTAGTTTAACCAATTATGGGTTCTTGTCAAGTCTTCTGTGGATATCCAACTGGTTTATACTGAATTCCTCATTTAGAATGTACATTACATCAAACTGACTGGGTATGTCCAGTGATTGGTTGATTGACCAGTAACTGATCTTTGATAAACCATGTGTTTGGGTGTAAGCCTTGGAAAAATGGAAATAATTAGTCTGTGTCATTGAGAATAACAAACTTTTTATTTTGTTATCTGAAATTGGATACTTTAAAAAAAAAATCCTTGCTGCCAGAATTACAATTTCATTATTATTTCAATACACTGGGATGAAGGTCCCTAAGTTTGCCTTGTTAGTTGAGTCATTTAAGTTTCTTGGCAGAATACTTAAGTCTGCTGCAAAAAGGAAGTACTGTTTTGGCGTGTGACTGCTCCTGTGGACATACGCCATCTGTATTTGAAATGCAGAATTAGAAGGATTAAAAAGTTGATGGTGAAAAACATTGGACATGCTGCTCTTTTAAGCAGTCTAGCAGAACAACCTGCTGGTCTCCTTCTGTGCTTTGAGAAAGCGTGAGGCTTCTATTTTTACTGTGGTTCTACACAACAGACCTAGAGACCCCAGTAGCAACCGAGTTGTAAGGAGTGTGTGTGAAACCTCGATGTTTGGCTTAGTGGGTGGAGCCCTAACATGACTCACTGGGTAGTGGCTCTCACTGGAGCAGCTAACCAAACACATGACTCTTCCCGAAGTGACCTGAACTTGCTCCACGCTCCCTGTGCAGATGGAAGGTTAACTCAACAGCTAACCTTGACTATCTGCATTTTAATTACTGTAGATAGTGTAACAGGAAAAGTATTTTTAGTACATAATTTAGACTTGGATCATTGCAGTA